CTTTCGGCCCAACTTATTCCAAATTCGGATTCGTTCACACCATTGGTTTCGTCTCGTCGAATCCTACATAACGGTATTCACTTTTTATTTAATTAACGAATAATAATAATTAACTTCAAGTCCGTCCCAATAATTAATTAATTATTTTTAATTAATTAATTCTGGTAGACTGGGTTTCGGGGTGTTACATTTCTCTCCCCCTTAAAATAATTTCATCCTCGAAATTACCTTAGCCTTTGATCACTGAAGAGATGAGGATCTCGCATGGATTCCTCGGTCTCCCGGGTTGCTTTTTCCACCACGTGGTTTTGTTAAAGCACCTTGACCAAGGGAACTGATTTATTTCTCAGTTCCTTTACTTCGTGTGCCAATATTTGGATGAGTTCTTCTTCATAAGTAAGGTTCTCGTCGAGAGTGACAACTCCCTGAGGCAGGACATGTGATGGATCAAAATGATACATTCTTAGCATGGACACGTGGATCACGTCATGGATCTTACTCAACTCTGGTGGTAACTCTAACTGATAGGCCATCGACCCTACTCACTCGATAACCCTATAAGGTCTAATGAACCTAGGACTTAGCTTGCCCTTTTTACCAAATCTTAGAACCTTTTTCCAAGGTAGAATCTTTAAGAACACAAGGTCATCCACATTTTATTCGACCTCTCGGCGCTTAAGGTCGTCGTAGGACTTCTAACGATCTAAAGCAACTTGTAGTCTATCCCGGATCAATCGAACTTTTTCTTCTGTTTCATGGACTCCCGGTCTTTCGAGCTTAGCCTCACTCAATTCAGTCCAACAGACGGGGGTTCTGTAATGTCTTCCATATAACGCCTCGTACAGAGCCAATGGATACTAGCTTGATTGCTATTGTTGTACGCAAACTCCATCAACGATAGATATCTCTCCCAACTATCACCAAAATCGATGACGCAAGCCATCATCATGTCTTCTAAAATCTGAATCATCCTTTAAGGCTGAGTGTTTGTTTGAGGATGAAACGTCATACTAAAATTGAACTTGGTATCGAGAGCTTTCTATAGACTCTTCCAAAACTGAGACATGAGCTGCGGGTTGTGATCCGAGATGATGGATACGGTCACTCCATGTAACCTAACAACCTCGCGAACGTAGAGTTCTGCTAGCTTTGTCAAAGAAAAGTCCCATCTCATACACAAGAAATGAGTTGACTTTGTCAATTGATCCACGACAATCCAAACAACATCGTTCTTCTTGTTCGATAACGGATGACCTATCACGAAGTCCATCCCGATCCTTTCCCACTTCCACTCAGGAATGACTTGTTGATGCAACAATCCACTCGATACATGATGTTTTTCTTCGACTTGCTGACATGTCAAACATCCAGATATAAACTCAGAGATTTGTCCTTTCATCGTCGGCCACCATTCATCACCAGCAAGCGAATTCGATAGAATAAAATCTCGTTATCATCTTCGGTGAAGTCTTGTCTCACCCCCTTAGAGGCAAGCTCACAAGTCTTCACACAATAGTCATTCTCTTTTGTGTTGGGCGAATCTCGCTTTCCGAAGTAGGATGAAGCTGCAGTTTTGCAATGTTCTTCCACCTCAAGGTGTTGGCCACCATATTGGCCTTTCCGGGATGATAGTCAACATAGCAATCATAATCCTTAATTAGATCTAACCACCTTTGTTGCCTCAAGTTTAGCTCCTTCTAAGTAAGCAGGTATTTCATACTCTTGTGGTCTGTGTGGATGTGAGTAGTCTCACCAAATAAATAATTTTGCAAAATGTTCAATGCAAAGACCACTACTGCCAATTTCAAGTCGTGCGTAGGGTAGTAAGCCTCGTGAGGTTTCAGTTGTCAGGAGGCGTAGGCCACAACCTTACCCTCTTACATAAGTACACAACCAAGTCCACTGTGAGAAGCATCATTGAAAGCCATGTAGTCCACTCCAAGTACTGGCTATACCAGCACTGGTGCCTCAGTCAAAAACTTTTTGAGTCGCTCGAAACTCTGTTGACACGCGTCGGTCCATAAGAATTTGACATCCTTCTTAAGCAACTTATTTAAGGGAGACGCGATGGAGGAGAAACCTTCAACAAAGCACCGATAGTAACCAGCTAAGCTGAGAAAGCTCTTCACCTGTCGCGTATTCCTCAGAGTCTTCCACTCTGTTATGGCTGAAATCTTGCTCGCATCCACCTTGATACCTTCCTTGGAAATCACATGTCCCAAGAATGTAACTTCATCCAACAAAAACTCACACTTGGATAGCTTGGCGTAGTTTGTGTCCTCTTAACACTTCAAGTATGGGTTGTAGGTGTTTGGCATGATCTTCTGGTGTCTTAGAGTATACCAAGATATCGTCGATGGAAACCACACTGAATTGGTCCAAGTAGTGACAGAAGATACTATTCATCAGGTCCATGAATATTGCACGAGCATTAGTAAACCCAAACGGCATGACTGTGAATTCATAATGTCCATAACAGGTACAGAAGGTAGTCTTCGGAATGTCTTTCTTCTTTATCAGAATCTGATGGTAACCTGATCGGAGGTCGATCTTGGAGAATACTGTCCCTCCTCTAAGCTGGTCAAACAAATTATCAATCTGCGGCAATGGATAATGATTTCTGATAGTAACCTTGTTGAGTTGTCTGTAGTTGATACAGAGCCTCATAGAACCATCTTTCTTCTTGACAAGGATAACTGATGCCTCAACAGGGACACACTCGTTCTGATGAATGCTTTTAAAGTAGTTAATGCAATTGAGATCTCAGCTCCTTCATCTCCGCAGGTGCCATGCAATAGGGTGTCATTGAGATTGGTTCTGTTCCCAGAACCAATTCGATAGAAAATTCCACTTCCCTCGACGGTGCTAAGCCAATGAGATCGTCGGGGAAATACATTAGGGAAGTTGCACACATTAGATATATCTTTTTGTTCTGAGGTCTCCTTTCATGTATCGTGAACATGGCATAAGAAGGCTTCATATTTCTTGCGGATAAGGCATTTAGCTTGCATGTAGGACATGAACTCTGACGGTTTAGGGAAGAATTCCCCCTTAACCTCTAAGCCACCATCCATCGTCGGTCTTCTATCATATGGTGCGTAGCCCAGAATCGATAATTACCTGATGTTTAGTAAACCAATCCATACCAATGATAATGTCAAACTTCTTGTACCGTAGCTCGATTAGATTTGCAGACAACTGATGTCCATGGGCCATTAGCGGACAGTTGCGGTATACGTGATGAAGTCTCATGCTATGTCTTAACGGGTTCGATACTATCATAAGATTTTCTAGATCACCTCTTTAGATGTAAGATTTCTCAGTCATAGGGATGCAAATTAAACATACGATACTGTAGAGCTTGGATCTATTAATGCAAGAAATTGAATATTGAATAACGAGAACATACCCAAGATGACGTCTTGGTTGATCTCGCGTCGCCCTTGCGTAGTGTAGTGCGCGCAGGTGTGCGCCCTGGCTAACGATTTTGGCCCTGATTCCTGGTTATGTGCCCTCTAAGGATTCGAGCATGCTGTGGATCGCTAGCTCTGGGCGGGTCGCTAAGAAGCTTACTGCGTCGGAACCTCGGCTGTAGGAAAAGTAGTTCTTGAATTGGTAGGACAATCCTTACGGAAGTGTCCTGCCTTCCCACAACCCAAGCATAGCCCTTGCGTGAACCTGCATTTTCATGGATGGTTTTTTCCATAAAGGTTGCATACTGGATGTCTCGAGGGTTTGGATTTAGCGAGGTGGCGGCGGAGGCAGTGGTTAGATAGCCGCAAAAAGTTTGCCATGATGGTAGGCATTACAACATCCCGATGTTCTGGTTATTTCCAGCATTCAAGGGAGTGTTCAGCTGTCCAGCGTTTTGATTCAGAACAAAGCTAGAAGATTCAGTATTGGCGTCGATGTGCTCGTCACCGACGTGTTGTGTGTTATCATTTCCGTGGGTAGATGCTGGACTCATTTTATAAACAAATTTTCCTAGTCTGTCATGCACACATAACATGCAAAGTTATACACTTATTACCTTCCCGGGGCAAAGGAGTCTCAAGAGATGTGGTGCAACATTTTAGAAACCAATTACTCATGATTCAAAGATCAATTTTAAAACCGTTTGCTCTGTCTCGCAATTTTTGTCTGATTTAATTTTTCTCGATTCAAACAAAATTAACTTTGAGCTTCTATTACTCTTAAATTGTATTGCATATTAGTATAGTAAATTAAAAATTTGAATGGTCTCTACAAGATCAATATAATAATATCATTTTTATGGGAGAACTCCAAAGATAAGACTAAAAAACAAGGAAAATACCAAAATGAGAGTCATAAGTCTTTTAAAACCAAAATAAGAGTTCACACTTCCATTATTACGCTTCCACACTTACTACATTGTTACATTGTAACTGCCACGTTATCACCACTATACTACCATCGGTCGCTGCCGCCACCAGAGTGTCGTCGCGGGTCATTGACGATTGACTGATCACATTGTTATATTACATTGTTATCACTTTTCCATTACACTCCTAACGCGTACTCTTATACCACACTGTCATTATACTCTTATTTTGGTCTTAAAAGACTTATGAACTCCTATTTTAATATTTTCATTACTTTTTTACTTTCATCTAGGGAGATTTCTCTATTTTTGTACTAATATACATTACAATTTTTGTTTGATTCGAATTTAAAGTCCAAAAAGTCGAATTGAGACGGAGGAAATAATTCACATATCATCAACCACGCTAGGGCACACTAAAAAGGGTACTCCAAAGAGATACACCAATATTTGAACGGTTTATACTGTCACAAAGTATTAGTTCAATAAAAAAAATTACACTGACATTTTCTGTCAGCATTAACCATCACACTAGCATGACACTAGTACAAAATATTAGTGCATATCTACTGGTCAAGTACAATTTTTGGGATACAGTTGGCATTTTTTACTCGAACTAACCATCAAATCCAAACCCACAGGAAATCTAGCGGATAACCTGGGATCCCCATTTGAAACCAGCAGAGAAAGAAACTGCATCATTTTCTCCTGAAGAAGTCATCCTTTCAACGCTATTACCAATTATTTTCCATAGAGTGAGAGATCGGAATGACTGTTGCTGCTGGAATTGGGTACGCATTGCTGGCGTTGGGTCCTTCTCTCTCGCTATTCGTTGCAGTTATCTCCCAAAAGCCATTTTTAGTACTAACTCTTCTCTCAAGGTTAGGTTTCTGTTTTTTCCCTTCAATTTATAATCTCTTCATAGTTCATAAACTGAAATTGTGTGTTAATTTGATTGTTTATTTCCTGCTGTTTTGATTTTGGGTTTTAGCACATTGGTCTGGTTGACAAGCCTGATCGTATTGTCTGCGCTATGGAAAGCATTCTTACCTATCGAAAAGGCAACATGGTGGCCTTATGCACTCATTCTCTTCAGTTCAGTGGCGTTTCAAGAAGCCCTCCGCCCTTTCCTCTGGCGATTGTACCAGTATTATTCATGTTATTCCGCACTATTTTTCTTAGCTTAAATTATGTGGATTGTCGAAGAGTTATGCTTTTGTTTTTTTGTTTTGTGAATATGAATTTTAGTTTACAGTCTGGTAAAGAATTTTATTCTTTAATTTGCAGTAAAATGTCACTAGGTACATGGGAGGTTTAGAAGTTTCCAATTCCATATGTGCTCCGTTTTCCCATAATACATTTCATTTTTTCTGGTTTTCTTTTGTTCTCCACTAGAATTATACTCTCCCTGCCCCAAAATAAACTTCTCCTTCCTTTTAAGGAATGTATTGGGTCATTTGGGCGGTCCACGTTAATTCTCTCTCTTTTGCATAAATCTCAACCAAATAAATTGATTTTTTTAAACTCCATGAAAAAGCAAATGGGAAGTTTATTTGGGTTGGAGGGAGTACAATATTAGCTCCATTAGATGTAGTTGGCACCAAGACACAAAAAGAATAAAAGTTATTGTGTAAGTTGCACTTTTTGTTAACATCTGGTGGTGTATGTACGAACATACAAACTTAAAATCACAGATGAAAAGTAATATAGTTACTTCTACGTTTATCCTACTTAATAATTTACCCAATATTTTTTCATTCTTGAATAAATTTTGATAAAAAAAGAAGGCCACTGAGCTCAGCAACCTAAAACCTGATGAGCCAAGACTCTTTCCCTGCAAGACAATTAAATTGTACTCATATGTTCACTCAATATTTTTCGAAAATGAACTAATATCTTCAAACTCTATGAAATTGCTGAGGTGTGCAAGTGAAGTTAAAACAAAATGATCTTTGTTTGTTGAGAATGTTGAAGATTTGACTTTGTTCAGCTCTTTGGAAGTTTATGTATGTCTAATTAATATAACAACTTCATAGTGTGTAAGGAATATGCGTGCCAAACCACCAATATAAGAGTTTATTGTGTTATACAAGTGGTTATATTATGAGAATCTGATTGTCTGTTCATATCCATATTTAACACTACGTACTCATTTAAAATGAGTCTCTGTTATGTTATTTTTAGTTTCAGTTGTGTTCGATATGCTTTGATTGATGAACCCCATTGAGAGACACTTTTCTTAAATAATTTGATTAATTTTAGTTGTTCTTTGTTTTGTTTTTTGTTATATGTTTTCTCTGCTTTATGTGCCTTCTCTTTGCTAGTTCTATCTGTGTTACTGAGCCGGGGGTCTCTCGGAAACAGGCTCCCTCCTTTTGAGTACGGGTATGGTTTGCGTACACATACCCTCCCGAGACCCTACTCTTTGTGGGATCCAATTGGATTGTTGTTCGGTTTGGTTTTAGGCTTCAGCAACTTGGTTACCTCATTTTTCTTAGTTTTGTTTTGTTTTTTTATTGATAAAGGTCACCAAGTTGTTATATTTTGCACTTCTGCTGCTATTGGTTGTTTCTTTGTCTTGCTTTGATTAGTTCAGGATCAGAACTGTAAACTGTTTCCAATTTTATCATTTCATGTGGAGCCTACATCAGGAGGCTTGAAGATGTATTAGATGCCTTTGCAGATAGAATCTCCAAACCACGCCTTTTTATCACGGATAAGATGCAAATTGCTCTTGGTAAGTTTTGTATGTCCTTATTGTTGGGTATATGATTGCAAAGAAGAGTGTTGTGTGCATTGCTAACTTTGTAACATGGTATTTATGTAGAGCTTGTGACGTCGGATTAAATTTTCAAAGCTTGGTATATGTGCTTATTTAAAGCCTTTGACAGAAAGATAATATCTGATGAATGCTAATCATCATCCTTTTACGTTAATTAGTTTTCCTTCCATTTGAGAGAGGAAAAAGGGGCACCGTGGCAGATCATGATATTGTGAAGAAGAAATAAAATGTTTCAAAAAATTGAATACACATTATTTCTCTTTATGTTTTCTTATATAACATTGTTGCAGCCTGTGGTATGGGTCATGGTCTGGCACATGCTATATTCTTCTGCCTAAGCCTCCTGACTCCTGCATTTGGGCCGGGGACTTATTATGTGAAACAATGCTCCCAGATGTCATTTTTCTTGGTATCCGGTAAGTCAGAATTGACAATTTCTCTTGGATCTAGGATCATTCCGTATACTGACTTTACAAGTTCAACTTACTGATTGCAGTAAACTATTTTTTATATGAAAATTCGATTCTGCTTATATAATCTCTGTGCAATCAGTGCTTGATGCCTATTACTTATTTCTGCTTACTACCATGCTTGTGTCTAGGAAACTAGGACTCATAATTTCCATTTTTTTTATATTTCTACTTAAAAAGGTTATGGATTTTTTATATTCATGTGTCCTTCATTCTTTATATTGGTCTGCAGCAATAATAGCTCTTGCCTTTGTTACCATCCATACATTCTCGATGGTCATTGCATTCAATGGATATGCAGAAGGGAATAAACTGGAGCAATTTTTTGTCCCAGTAGCTCATCTTATTGCGGCGATGTTTGTGAGTTACTTTTCATTTGTAATATATTTCTGCCTGTGGTAATCGTAGTTCGTAGAGCTGCATTTATGAAATTTATTTAATTATTGTATTAAATAGAGGCCTATTTTCATAAACATTCAGGAAATCAGCACTCTGGATAACTAAGTCTCTGTTTGTGCTATATCTATTTGAAAATGGAATGATTTGTGGAGTTATACATTTCTCCATGAAATACCTGGTAGCATAGACTACATGTAGGTTGGGACAATTTTCTTAGGAACATATGTTGCATTACATCTATGGATTTTTTTTACAAGAGATTTTTCTAAGGGAAATTGGTGCTTCTAATAGTAACTCTAAAGTAAACCATTAAATCTTAGATTATTTGTATAAATAAGGTACTCTTATATTCATTCTAGGTCAAAAAGATTAATCTTCTCTAATTATCGTTCTTCCAATCACTCTTTTCACATGGTATCACTATCACAGCCTCTTTCCTAGGCTGTTTTTCATTAAGTTTTCCGGCTAAAACTTCTGGCGATTTCCCCCCTTCATAGCCATTGCTGTACTGCTACATTTGCGAATTCTTTCCTGCAGTCATATCTACAAAGTACCACCACCAATTTTGTTTGAACTCTTTGGTGACCTCCGTGTGCACGTGACTACCTATGCTGTTAGATTGAGCAGGGTTTGTTCTCCTTTTCCGGTGAAATTACGGCTTTAAGAGGCTGGTTAATGTTACCGCCCATACCTTGAAACCCTCGTCTCAAGTCAACCCCCACACAACATATGCCACTATCTGCTCCACACACTGCCTCCATATGCCACCTTCATAGTACTCCAAGCATTTTTTCCTGACTGACTTTTATCCTTGACGGCTTTGTCAGGATTAGTAATGAACTAATTCACCATCATCAGTCATTACCATTGATAAGCTTGTCAAAAGCACCTACAACTCTTCTTGGTCAACGTTGGTTGGAATGAGATTTAAGGGCCATGGAATGTGTGAGCACTAGACAATTAAAGCTGGCAATTTTAAAGGAAAACCAACGAGTGTTAACAAGCTGATTTCCTTTTATGTAATTTGTTGTGGGCTTGTGGAAATCCATTGATCTGAAACTCTATATCTTCAAGACATATAAGACGTGATCAAGTATGGGAAAAGCCGCGTCTATTTATTGCAATGATGCACACTAATTTTATGGTGTTGTCTTGGCCAAGATTAATTTAAAACAAATAAAAAATTTTGTGTCAGAGTCTAAGGTTGTGTTCGGTCCATTTAAGAAATTCTAAACGCTCCTCCCCAAAAATTGAATCATTAGAATTTTAGTTGAAACTCTAAGACAACCTTAGGGTATGCTCATTTGGGTTAAAAAAGTTAACTTCCAACTTTTTCGAACTCCTTCCTGTTTCTTCCAACAGCGACTAAAAAAAAGTTACATATGATGAATATACAATAACGTCATGTATGCAAAATTATAACATACCACCTCACGCGCATCTATTACAGAATATGAGGCCAGCAGATTCTATCTTGTTTCTTAAATGTGGAATATTTCAGCTTCCACTAGGACCACTACAATTCTTTAGATGTGTTGGATTTTTATAAAACATTACCCCTGGACAATCTAAACTATCTGTTAAAGCCATCAAACATGTCCTTCTGGGCTACTCTCATCTACAAAAGGGTACTTATGCACTCTCTAGTACTACGATTTGTCGATTCCAATTTTTCTTTAATGTTGTGATGTTTATTACGAAATTACCTCTATGCACTCCACGCCCTACCTCTCCAAACCTTATTGAATATCCCAACTCTATTCCTATCCTCTTAAAGACATCCCAAATCCCAATCTCTACTTGCAATGAAAAACAACTTCAGGTATATCACTGTCGCCCTTGAGCACATCAAGTGATTGTATCTCTGCTAAGTGGCTCAACAACTGATGATCACGTTTCTCCAACTGCAGATCTAGAACCACTGACAGACACAGAGTAACTCATTTCTCTACAAAACAGTACACACTCCATTTGTAATCTACTGATCCATATCCCTTATATTCTATCTCGAGTTATCATTGTCTTTTTTCTACAAACTCTGCATTCAAATGTCATTTGTCTGGTGTGTCTATCTCTACCCCTTCAGATCTAGATTGGTGTCAGGTTATGATGGCTAAGATGCATGTGTTATTTCAGTGGTTTGTGAGAGTTGATTCTCCTTCTGGCAAGACTTTTGGTTGTTGCAGGTAGAACGGTAGATCTACACAGTTGCAGTTGGTGTAGATGGAACTATTGAATGCCTTAAAGCTTGGCTGGTTGTAAAGTGATACTCAAATCTTTGGGCTGGACTACATGGACATCTTCTCACCATTTCCAAAAATCATATTTGCACGATTCCTATTGTTGAATATTGTCGCATTAATAAGACACACTAATGTTTACAATCTAGGGTTTCATATGCCTTGTAATTATAATAAAAGATCGCCATGGACCATTACACAAGTTGGCTATCTAGAATATGTTCTTTCATGAAGATCTTGAGGAAGTCTACATGAAGGAACCTTGTTATTTTGTTGTTCAAACAGAATGCGGATTGGCATGTAAACTGTGTCATTATGTTTGTGGACTGATTTCAGAATGACAAGAAGTGAAGTTTACAACTCTGTGTTCTATTGTCAGACCAACCATAGAGAAGCATTTATCTTGTTTATGTCAATGACATTGTAATCACATAGAATAATGAATAAAGGCATCTTTAAATCAAAAGAACACGACACTTCTTTGCTTGATTCCCAGCCAAATGAGTTAGGCAGGCAACAGCATTTTCTTGGAACTTTTGTTGCCCAATCCAAAACCGACATAGTTAAGTCAGGAAGAAAGTCTGTGTTAGGTATTCATTTGATAACATGAATGTTAGATTGCAAACCTTTAGAAATACCCATAGATCTTAATATCAAACTTCTGCCAAAATTGGGGGAGCCCATTATTGATCTTTAAGATTAAGATGAATTGAGACGTTAAATTATCTCAGAATGACTAAACTAGATATTTCTTTTGCAATTAGGGTGCCTGGTGAGTTCTCTGTTGCTCTTCATGAAGATCATTGGGGTTGTTCAATTTTGGTATTGAGATACCAAGATGATACCAGGACAAGGAATGTTATATATATATGAGGATAAATGGCATCCCCATATTGTCTGATATTCTAATGCTTTATTGGGCAAACTCTCATGTGGTCTCTAATTCAAGATATTGTGTGTTCTTAAGTGGCTTTTCTTCGAATAGTGTGTTACCCTAACCCTATGGGCTTATCCTGGACTATTACTATTCTGCACGGCCCCTCAAACGGGAGTAGAAACATTCATTTCCATCCAAGATTATTCCTGTAAATAAGGTGTTCGGGTTATTATTCTGAGTATGGTACTTTTGAATTCATTTTATATCATCAAAGTTTTATGTCCAACCATTATCTTTCTTCTAATCACTCTAGCTTCCAAAGAGCTGGTAATGATATTTGTTTTGGTGTTTTTTTCTCCATATAACTCTATTAGATTGTCTTTGCAGACACTCATAAATCTTGCTCAAGGGGGTTGTGTTGTTGGTATTCCTTTGATCTATTCCGTGGCAGTGCTAGCTTTGGGGTACTCCGGGAAAATGGTGTTCAAGAGGCTTGCTGAAAGCAGGAGCGGGCAAGCAAACTCATTATAACTGCACGAGTAGTTTCTTTCCTCTCCCCGCGGGTGACGTTTTGAACTCGTACAGATGTAAGTACTTTTTTTGGCTTTCTGGCACAATGGAGGACATTTTGCTTTTGGCGATTGTTTTTTAATTTGTGGGTTATTTTTCTTTTCCAGGAAAATAATCCACAAAGAAAAAAATCGCGAGTTAATACTTGTTTTAGTCCCTGTAAATGCACTCACGAGTATATTTAGTCCCTGTAACAAAAAAATGTGAATCAAGTTAGTCCTTTATTCGAAAATTTATCTACTAAAATTTTAGGTTGCCATGTTAATTGTAACAAAAACTAATACAGAGGGTTATTGCTCTTGCGTCAATTAATGTGCTAAGTCAGCAGATAAATTTTATTCGAAGGACTAACTCAGAATTCACATTTTCTTGCTAGAGGGACCAAATTGACTCGCGAGTGCACTTACAGGGACCAAAATGAGTATTAACTCAAAACAAAACATCAATTTTCATGCACAAGTACTGAGAAGTTGAAATTCTAGATGTAATATACAAGCAAAAGCAGTCATAGGTTGCAATGTTGCACCATTATGTATACTCTCAAAACTCTTGTGTGAAGACTGAAGAGAACTCTGCGCTCCATTCACTTATAATATTTGCCCTGTGAAACACGCGAAGTCATTCTGGTCCTTGTTGATGTGTAATTACTCCTTCAGTTCCTTACTAGTGTTCTATAGTATTCACATGGTCAAGTAATATTCATTTTTTTCTAATTACATATGTTCATTAATTGATAAAATAAAATAGTCTTGTCATTACTTGTTTTATAGAATTTTTGAAATAATTTTTGAAATTTTAAATTTTATTTATTAATTCTACACTAATCTGCATATAAATTGAATTCAAAATCATTTTTGTAATTTGAAACTGAAACATTATTATGAGATAGAAGATTTATACTCCCTCCGTCCCAGTTTTGATTATAATTTTTCTCTTCTCTTGATAATTTTTTTTATTTGTATATTTTCATTGAGTATATGATAAAATAGAATATTCTTGTCATCTTTCATTTTGTAGAACTTTAGATGTAGTATTTTTCTATGTAATTTTTTATTATTAATATACCAATTTGTAAATAAAATGATTTCAAAAATTGAGAGATTTTACCTCGTAACTAACAATTTGTAATCAAATTATGGACTATAAACACAAAATGAAAAAATTCTGAGATAGGGAAGATTTTAGGAACTTATTTCTGTGTATGGAAAAATGCACTCAGCAATTTCTATTCAAAAAATCTAGACATTTTTCTCAAAGGAAGCTGGCGACTTTCTTTGAGATTACCTTTTTTACTTTAATCAGCATGGTCTGGTGTGCACACTTCCTCTCGAATCTCCTGTCTTATTTTTTTTAATTCCTCAAAGGAAGTCGCTGACTTCCTTTGATATTATTTTCTGGCTAGCTCACTTCCTCATCTTTTACTCCGTATTTGTTTTTTGTTTTAACTTAATTTCTACTTTTCAAGGAAAAACTTAATTTCTATTAATTTTTTAGAATTGATTTAATGGCAAAAATTATTAAAATAAGAACTCATATAATGATATTTATTTTTGGACAAACAAAGTTTTAAAAAACAATGTTACATTCATAACATAAATAAGAATTGATTAATAAAAGTCAATAAAAATTAAAAATATAAAACTAACAGTAATAGAGTTTTCAATGTTGCGGAATCTTAACAAATCACAATCACAAAATATAATTAATTAATGTCTTTCGAAATAGTAACAGTTTAAATCCATCACATTCATCTGGAAAATCTTGCCCCCGTCTGCTGTCGGGATTACGTCACATCATTTTTTCTGTTTACATGCGTGTAGCAAATAAAACATACTACACGTTCAACGATGAGGCTTAGTAAGAATATTTAATGCATCGAACATCGACATAAATTGATTCTAAATTCAAACTCAAATCATTTGATATCATGCACATAATATTCAGTTCATATCAGATCATTGATATCAAACACATGCTATTCAATTAAAATATTCAATATTCATTATATCAACAGTGTTCAAACACATTTTATATCAGATCATTCGATATCAAACACATGCTATATCAACAGTGTTCAAATATTCAATTACATACCTTTTTATTCAGAGTGGATTGAAGAAGTGTTGTGGTATATATTTGATGATTTGAATGGGGAATAAATTGAAAAAATGAATAAATTTAAAATAATATTATGGAAAGAAGAGTGTTTGAATTTATAAAAAAGTTAGGAAGGTGTGAAAATAGTAAAGAGTTAGAGTAAATAAATAAGAGAAGAGAAAGCGAGAAGAAAGGATGGGTCACAGGTAATTTATTTACATCTATTCTCAAAGGAAATCGCCAACTTCCTTTGTCACTGATTGGAAATTGTTTTGATATTTTGGAATTCTATCACAGAATTCTTCCCTTTGACGGAAGTCTCCCCACAAAATGCATGGTCCCGGGGTCCCACACCTAAGAAATCATGGGTGGTTTCCCATTCAGTGGAAAAAACACGCTACAAATTCCTAAATTTGAAAATTATTTCCGATCAGTGAAAAACAGGTTTGGCGAACACGAGTTATGAAATATTAATCGAAATCGTGTTCACGGAACACGAGTTTTGAAATGTTAATTGAAATCGTGTTCGCGGAACACGAGTTTGAAATATTAATTAAAATCGTGTTCGCCGAACACGTGTTGCATAAAAAGCAAAAAAGTAATCACGCGTGGTGCCACCCAGCATTAAAGCTGTCAGATTCCCCAAGGGATGAATTCCCTCACTCAGAAAAATTTGGAAAGTAATTTCCTCAACCACACTTTCGCATATAATACATGCAAATCTTTTTTTTAAATTATATTTTGTAATTAATTGACACTAATTTGGCTGACAACCATCCTCCCACCCTATTTCACATGTAACACATGCAATTTTTTTAAATTTTATTTGTACTTGGTTGGCAAGCATCCTCCTAACAAAACTAAAAACAGGGAATGAAAACTTACTAAAATATTATAACTACCATAATTAGGAATAAGAAGCTAACTAAAATACAAAGACTACTATATATAATTAGGCTCCGTTCCGTTGAACTTATTTTTCTTGATCTGAATTTTCGTAGTTCTGATCTAATTTGGTCTGATCTGATTTGATTGGATCTGATCTGATCTGATTGAATCTGATCTGGTCTAATTGGTTCAGATCCGATCTGGTCTGATCTGATTAATTATGATTTGATTTAAAATTCAAATAAAAAAATTGATTTAACATTATAATAACGTTTGAAAATTAAAATGATAATTTATATTATAATATAATCAATATTTTTTATTTTATGATTATTTTTAATAAAATAAAATTAGTTAATTCATATAATAGAATAATCATTCATATTATAATGTAATAATATATTTTTTATGATTATGTTTTTTTGAAATTAGAATATTAATTTAATATTTTAATAATTACTTCATATATACATTAAAAATTAATTAAATTTAGATAATCAATATATAGAAGAGATAATATTTTTAGTAAAATATCTCATCCTTATAAAAGATCAAAACTTTAGAAACTCAAATTACATGTAGCAATAAAAATGTACTTTAAAAGTAGAATTAGATTGACATTGTCAATTTATTTTAAAAATACTTTTTCCAACGTCTAATAAATAAGGATTACTTTCTCACTTTTCTATTTAACTTGTTTGTAAAGTTTATTCTTTTTCAATTTTAAAAATAATAATAATAATAATAATAATAATAATTCTTGATGGAATCTCATCTGATCTGATCTGATCTGATTCGATCTGATCTGATCTAGTCTTATGTGATTTTAATAAGAATAAGAAAAAATAAGAAAAAATAAGTTGAACAGAACGGGGCCTTAATACTACCATTATGAAGTGCTATTTAGGAAATAAAACAAACCACTATTATGAAGTGCTATTTAGAGAGTAAAACCCACTTTTATCTTTATTTTTTCATATCCTATCTATCACATCATATTTTTTCTCTAATAATCTATCCATCACATCAAATGCAAAATTGAAAGTCAATTACAATTTGACACTTCCTTATTTTTATACTTGGTCAAACTAGGAATTCCTTTTCGAGAACGAAGGCAATAAGTATGTTGTATTGAATAGGAATGAAAAGGGGTGGATATTAAAAAAGGAATGTAGGAGGTGTGAATTACGTGTAAAAGAATCGCATGTTTGACGTGTAAATATGTTGTCCCCTTTCATAATTATTGTGATAATTGAACTGGCGATTGGACATTTTTAAAAAAAATTTAAAAAAACTCTTTTGCATGTAATACATGCAATTTTCCAAGTGAGGAATTTAGGGTTCCACTTTAGGAATTAATCTTTGTGTTTTAAGTGAGGGAAACCACCCTTCCCCAAGCCACCCAACATTAAAGATGTCAGCTTCCCCAAGCCACCCAGTTGGTCAAATTTGTGTTCGCTGAACATGAGTTCCAAATGATTTTAAGTACCCAGAATATCCGGTATTGCCACCGATAAGGCCTAAAGGAGAAATATCGCGTTCCGGTCGCCGCAGACAAAAACGCTTCTAGGGGAAATGAGATGAAATGGACAATGGAAGGACCAAAGCGTTAGAAAATACGCATGCTACATGTTATCGTTTTTTTGTTGTCATCTTAATATTTAGTGTATATTATTTTTAAATATTAGTTTATGTTGTTTTTAAATATTTAGTTTATGTTTTGTTTTAAATAGGTAGTGTTATGTTTAAAAATATTTTTGTGTTATACAAATTGTAGTTTCAATTAATTGTGTTATACTCCATAAAATTAATGTTTAACCATTGCACCATACATTTAATTAAAAAGAACTTGTGTTCGCTGAACACAACTTTAATTGGGAGAAACTATTTCGTGTTTGTTGAACACGTTTACGTTGTTAGAAATCTGACATTAAAATTTGACACTGATCAGTAATTGCTCCAAAAATCATTGTGTTGGGACCATAGTTTGTAAGGCGCCAAAGCGAGGCGAGGCGCCAATGTACCTTCATATCGCCTAGGCGCACGCCTAGGCGACGACTAGGCGACAAATATATATATATATATATATATATATATATATATATATATATATATATATATATATATATATATATATATATATATATATAGGGATTGACTCCAGTCAGATGACACTTTACAGTGAGATGACATGCTACGGTCAGATGACACAAAGCTCACCACTGCCCACTGCAAATCTCACCAAAGACAACTACAAAGCTCACCAAAGTGTAAGGCAAAGCTCACTATAATTTTTCAACACTTTGAATTTTTTTTGGAAAAAAAATCAAAGGAAGTGATGCTGACTGGACTTTGACCATTGACCGTTGACCATCACCGGCGACCCCCTGCCGCCGGCCGCCGGCGACTTCCCCCGCCGACCTCCGCCACCGACCTCCGTCGCTGCCGTCGCCGGACTCCGGCAGCCACCGCCGGCCGCCGGTCTCTGCCGCCGCCGACCACTGCCGGTCGCCGCCGACCACCTCCGCCGCCGCCGACAACCGCCGCCGGCTGCCGGCCGCCGGCGACCACCTCCGCCGCCGCCACTGACCGGTGGTTGACCGGTGTTGCTATTTCATTTTTTATTAATTTTTTAATTTTCAAAATAAAA